CTCCCTCCAGCCATTTAATGTCATTTCTTCTAATCAGATTCTCTGGTCCTGGCTGGGGACTCGTCTGGGGTCCCCAAGTAGTAGGAACCAAAGGCTATCTTCCTAGGTCATAAGAGAGCCTTGGCAGAAAGCCGGCTGGCACCTCATCCCCTCTGAACGCCTCCCCTCCGTGCAAAGCAAGACGAGGGATATGAAGACTCGAGGCACGTGCTGTGAGCGTGAGCAGACAGGCCATGTGGGAGGGGCTGTGTGTACTTGACAGGTGCACACAGGCTGTGTGCCTGAGTGTGGCTGCAGGCAGGTGCAGGGGAAGCAACAGCACACAAATCCCATTGGCCAAGGGGGTGAAAGGATCACGCTTCTCTTTGCAGCTCCATCCAAATGATGAATCTAAGGCAAGTAATAAACAACTCTGGGCTTGTCAGCAGAAGGAACAACAGGAAAACCAGAGTGGGCACTGGGTAAGTCTCTAGCTCTTTCATGTCCAGCTTCAAGTCAGGGGCAAGAAATCTCCTATAAGAATATCAATTCTTAAAAGGAAAGGCACTCTCTTCTACCCTACAAAATGCATCTATGATTTGATCAGTAAATAACCAGTAAGAAAAGGATTCTGACTACCTAGGTGTCGTTTTCTAAAACCTTGAGTGCCAGCTCGAGCCAAATAAATCTATAAGGCTAAATTAAAGAAACAAGTCCTTTCAGTACAGCATGAACTATGGATATGCAACAGCCCAAAACCTACTCAATCGAGGGCTTATGAACAGTGAACTCTCCACATGTCACTGCTGACAGGACTCAGAGGACCCAAAAATGAATGCAGGGCCAGAGCAAAGCCTGTGCACACCAGTGTTCCAAACTGGAACACAGGACTGAATGACACCAGAGGGAGAAACTGCATTTCACATACAAAGTCAGAGGAAATGGTAATAATTTGTAACGGCTTCAGCTAGCCATGTACGATGGTAAAATGACAAATGTGTCATTTAGAACCTGCTGAACCAAATATAATGACTTATATTAATTCAGACAGATTCTTCTTCCCAGGTTATTATGCAAAGGGAGTGAAGATATGATAACACTAATTAAATGAAAGGGCCTGCAACAGTTTTCAACTTCTAGAATATTTATTTATTTATTTTGTGGTGCTGGAGATTACACCCACCCAGCCCCTTGTGCATGCTAGGCAAGTGCTCTGCAGCTGAGCTATATCCCCAGCCTGAACTCCTGCAACATTTCAAATTCTAATATGCTCCTTGGATTTACCTGTGGGAATGCTGAGACTGTAATGAAGCTGTTTAATTTTGATCAAAATGAAACACACACACACATGCATCTTGGCAGCACCTGGATATCCCACGTGCTGGTACCAGCACAGCCAGGGGACTCTGACAGCAAGCCAATAAGTGAATTTGATTTCAAGCACTCCCAGAACGGTGCTGCTTGTGCCAAAATCCCACCGTGGGTCCTCGTTTGCTCTGGAATAGCACCAGGGTCAATGTTCTTGGGTCAAGAGACAGCAGTCTGGCCTTGTCAGTACAGCATGGAACCCACTGAATTCCTGATTTAGTATGATGCTAACCCAGTGTGCCAAGATTATCACCTTAAAATCCTCTGCCAACTTTCTGTGCCTTAAACTAATGCAATTCCAAAAGAACCAGAAGATACCTAATGAGACATTCCACATGCCTTCTGGGCAACACATACCAAGAAAACCACAGAGTCTCTGAGCTGGAAGGGACCTTGGTCAGCTCCTGGTCCACCCACTCTGAAACACGGAGGGGATCAGGAAATTGCCCAAGGTCACATAGCAAGTGTGCAGCAGAAGCCAGTGCAGCATTCCTGGTCTGTGGACTCCTTGGCTAAGTGATGGAGCACACATTTGGCTGGAAATCTCTGAAGGCCCTACTTCTTTATTATTACTAGTTTGGCTTCTGTTCATTCAAGATAGATTTTTCAAAAATCAAACATTTCAACATAATTGCAAATAGTAAGTGGCTGACCTTATGTGGACCTGTCACTGCTGATTTGGCAAATGGTCTTCTAGAGAGAAGTAGGTGCCCCATTAGAGGCAGGATAAAATCCTCTTTTTAGCTGTGCACCTATGGCTCACGCCTGTACTCCTAGCTACTCAGGAGGCAGAGATCAGGAGGATCGTGGTTTGAAGCCAGTCTGGGCAAATAGTTCGAGTGACCCTATCTTGAAAATACCCAATACAAAAAAAAAGGGCTGGTAGAGTGGCTCAAGAGGTAAGACTGCCTGCCTAGCAACTGTGAGCCCTGAGTTCAAACCCCAGTGAGGACAAAAAAAAAAAAATCCTCTGTTTATTGCTTTGGGCAACAATGGATGTTTAATCTGTCAGAAAGAATAGTGGAAGATCACTTCCCCTGCTTAATTCCCTCTTTGGGAAGCTGGCTTTCTCTGATTCATAAACTCTTAAGGCTTTTGGCTCCTACGGTTTATTTTAATTTATTTAAGTCACACACACATACACACACACACACACACACACACACACACACACACACACACACACCATCTCTCCTTTTGGGAAGTTCAGAGACTCCTTTCACCTCTCTTTCCATCACAGAAGAAAAATAAAGATTTTGAGTCTGAAAAGACAAAATGCAACGTAGCATCCCGGAACAGAAAAAGACATGAACAGAAAAACCAGGGAAACTGGAATGAAGTCTGAAGTCCAGCTAACACAGAGCCCTGTTCCAGGGTCCTGCAGCAAAGTGACTTCCAGGCAAGAGCAGTTTGTGCCTCATGGAGAAGTTGGGGGCCACTTTGGACTGGCCCTCTTTATTGTGTGGACCTGTGTCACCAGCTCTCTAGGTATTCCTCTTTCTGTCCCTGGAACCATCTGCCCATGATGTGACCCTGCAGTGGCCTCCTCCTCCACTTTCAATTCTATCCACTGCAAAGTCTGTCCCCTTCTCCCCTTGGAGTTCATGTGACACAAAGCAGCATTAATTTTGCCTGTTGCTTCTGAAGGATCAGAGGAGGTCCACCCCAGGCAGATTACATGTCTGGCACTGGCCAAAGAGGGGCAGGCCTAGGTCCTTAGAGGATCCCTCAGAGAAAAAAACCAAGAGATGCAGAGGGCAGCTCAGCCACGCAGGCCCCTGCGATGCAGACCCCACGCTTCAAGCACAGTCCTGCTCCTATCAGCTGTCCCTCACCAGCAAGTGTTCTTTCTCCAGCTTCAAAACTGTGCACGGAGAGCTAGGGTTTCTCTGTGCAAGCAGCAAGAGTAAGAGAAGGAGATGAGGCCTGGAGCTGCTGTGAGCCACGGCTGAACAGCACAGCTGTGTAGTTCAGGGAGGTTCAGACAGAAGGTCCCAAGGGTGACCAAAGAGATGCCGGGAAACTGAAACTCACAGCCAAGCACCTCGACCCTGCTGGCACAGCTAGAAGCAGGGTGCAAACTGCACGCAAAGTCCGTGTTTTTAATGTTTGGGTTAACTGCCGGCCTTTCCAAAGTCTCTCACCTTGTGATGATTAAGTTACCCCAGTCTCTTTAAATTGCCACTAAAATTGAATCCACATTTATAAATGACCATTTGGATCAAGTATCTTTAGAGCATAAATTTATCATCCAGGAACTCTAGACCTCTTAAGGCCAAGGCTAATGGACTACTTCTTTATAAATATACAGAATGAATGCTAGATAAAGGAGAAAAATTGATGTTGGGGGAGGAGACAGACAGGAGGGAGGAGAAATTCCCAAAGAGCCATGCCCTGCCGTACCCTCAAACAATCTAAGCCCATGAGCCTTTTTCCAGACACTGTAGAGAAGTTTCCAAAAGCCTCGGGGTGGGGGGGGGTTCTCCCCAAACTGGTGGCTAGGCTGGGATGCAAACAATGGAGGCCAAGGTCAGAGACAGATGCTGGTGTCCTGTGCACAGCCAGGCAGTCAGCTCGAGTCACCTGGCCACAGGTCACTACACAGCGTACAGGAAGTACCTCTCTCCCTAGGATATTCCTAGCAGCCCTGTGGAGCCTAGCTGGGGTTCAGAACACCTGTGCTGAAGAGGACCAGGAGGAAGGGGAAAGGGGGTGGGCTCATAGGCCAGCCCAAACCAGAGAAGCATTTCTCTGCAGAAGCAGTTTCTCCCCAAACTCAACCCTTGGTTTCCTGAGTAATACAAAGGGTTGGGAGCTAAATGTTTGCGAAGGGGTCCTTGAATCCACCCATGGACCAAACCCTATCCATCTCATAATCCAGCTGGTTTTCACCAGCCCAGGGCATGAGATCAGTAAGCACACACACTCCTTGAAATAGCATCATTCAGTCCCCAGAGGCTGGTTGTCCTGAGGTTACAATGCTTCTCAATTAACAGACACAAAACCACAAGTACTCTGTGGGGCTGGGGGATTTATTTCTGACACCCAGACAATAGCCTCATTTTCAGCCAGGTGAGGATCTGCTTCTCTTGTCCAGCTGAACCATTTTCCAAGTGCAGAACCAATGGTTCTGAGAACGTAGTGACTTGTTCTGAGCTACAGAGGGCTGGCCTCAAACAGCAGGGTCAGGCCAGAACTGTGATCACCCAGTCTCCTCAGGCCACTTAGGAGCTAAGAGAACTTTCTTTCAGAGGCAAAAACCTAAAAAATCTGGAGAATAACAATAGCGACAGCCTAGGTCATGTGCTGATGACTAACTCAATGCCAAGTCGGGATTTCATCTCTTTTAATGCTCCTGAGAATCCACGGCCTCTTTCACACCCTGTAATTAATCATACATTTGCTTGAATATTTGGTACGGTCTCTCTCCTGCACTAGCCTTTAGGGCCCACCAAAGCAAGGCGTCATGAGTTTTCCACTGCCTGGCACCTAGATGTTCCACAAATTTGATGTTCCTGCTTTAAAGTCAAGAAAAACAGAGCCCAGAAAGGTTAAGCGATTTGACTAAGGACACACAGCCTAGAGCTACTGAAGGAGCTGGGCCACTCTGCCTTTACTCTACCCCTTATCACTTCCACAAACCACAGCCCTACCTTGACAGCCTCTGCGTGAGTCACCCGGGCCAGAGATTTATCATTGACGCGCAGAATCTGATCGCCGACCCGCAGCCCTTCCTTCTCAGCCAGGGAGCCTGGCTCCACCAGTGACACGTAGATGCCCACTCCGTGTTCCGAGCCCCCGCGGATGCTGAAGCCCAAGCCCTCGTGGGCCTTGGCACGCCTCAGGCTCACCAGGCGCACCTCCCCCGGCCCCGCGCCGTCGGGGCCGCCCCAGGCCGGCTGCTTGTAGGGGGTGGTGGCAGGCAAGTAGAGGCCTTCGGCGGTGTACTGGTCGAAGAGCAGCTGGTCCGAGCGCGGGATGACCAGACGCAGCATGGGCAGCAGGCGCCGCTTGACCGGGCTGTCCAGCAGGACGCGCAGTGTGCGCACCAGGTCGAAGACGTTGCGGCGCGCGTGGTACGCGTTCAGGCAGTGCGTGAACTGCTCCCGCTCCGTCTCGCTCAGCAGCGCGGTGAGCGCCTGGTGCAGCTGGCGCACGTTGGCAGACAGCAGCCGCAGCCCCGCGCCCCCGCCGGCCGCCGAGCCCAGCGAGCCGGTGGAGGACGAGCTCACCGACAGGCCGTCCAGCTGCGCGTTCATCTCCCCGCCAAGGCCCGGCCGGACTGGGGGCGCGCGGAGGGTGCTGCTGCACTTGAGGGAACTGGCGCGACAGCTGGATTCCGGAGTCCGCGGAGGTCACGGCTTGGAGGCTGGGTTTGGAGGGACGTGGAGACGGGACTAGATCCCAGAAGATTTGGAGACAGCGGCTGGAGTCTGGGGTCAGGAGAACCAGGGGACGACGGCTGGAGTGCGGGTTTGGGGGATGGAGGTGCAGAAAGAATGGCTAGATCCTGGGGGCGGGGGGGGGGTCGCGGAGACCGCGGCTGGAGTCCCAGGGCGCGAAGGCAGCGGGGGTCACGAAACAGGAATCCGAGGGACGGAAAGACGGCGGCTGGAATCCTGAAGACGCGCACACCGCGGCGGGATCCTGGGGGACAAAGAGTTGGCGGCTGGAGGCCGGGGGACGCGGAGACAGCAGCTACATTCCGGAGGGCGCAGAGACGGCGGGTGGCTGGAGTAGGAGGGGCGCAGCAAGGCTGACCGCCCCGTCACACCATGCTCGGGGCTCCCTACCCCGACCGCCCTTTCCTCTAGGGCTAGGAGGCCCCAAAGTCAGAAGTTGGGGCGCGGGTCGATCTAGTCTCAGAGCCCCCTAGTCGCAGCCGGAGGAGCCACCCGGGCGTCCGGCAGGGGGTGCGGGGCATGTCCGGGGCAGCCCCGGGATGCAGCAGCCCCGGGCCCCCGCGCCCCTGCGCCGCCCGGGCGCAGACGGAGCCGCGCCGCCGCGAGCCCGGACTTTGCGAACTGTTGAGCAAGCGGGGACCGAGTCTTCCAGCGAGTTCCGACGCCGTCGCCGTCGCCAGCCCAGCCTTGGCCCCGCCCCCTCGCCCCTCCCCCTCTCCCGCCCCCTCCCCCCGCGGGTTCTTCAGGAAATGACGTCCCGCTTGGCGCGCCTGACGGTTGCCTGGAGACGGGGTGAAACAGTCCGGCCCCGGGGAAGAAAGGGGTGAAAGTGGGGGTAGGGGTAGGAGAAGCCCCGGGGCTCCTGAAGGACCCCCAACATGTCCAGTTCCAGGGGTGGGGGGTAGGGGAGGGTCTCAAAAACTGCTCTTCGGCGTTCACAGCAGGTGCGCCTGGATCGCTTTGAAGCAATAAGGTAGCTAGCTAATTCACAATTGTGGGAGAAAATAGCCAACTTTGCCTCTAAAATACTAGACGCTTCAGGCTCGGTTTTTCTACCTTAAAACGTCGCTCCTACCTCTTGCACACGCACTGACATACAAGTTTAAGTGCTTCTGGGGACGATTGTCCGGCACCTGCTGTGTGCAAGAGATGAACACAGGCTTATACAGGTGCCTGCAGGAGCCAGCTCCTGTGCTCGGATAGATCAGGCTGGACCCCTCCCTGGCTGTCCCCAGTGAGGAGGAAAGCCACTGTTAGAAATATACAGTATACAAAACACACAGCACAAATGGATGCATATTAAAGTGGTGACGTTGGATTAAAGTGGGTGGATTTTACCAGCCAATATGGACACTGGTCGTGATCTTGTCCACGTTGGGGAAAACTGGATGAAGGCTACATGGGAGGGCTATGTACTCTTCCTTACAATTGCATGTAGATCTACAATTGTATAAAAAAACTATAATACATATATAATATATGTATGTACATATAATATGTATATATATGAAGTGAGTTGCGAAAATGTATTCTGTGCCCTCTCATCCCGAAACAAAATAGGAAGCTACTCCAAGGTATGACCTAGAGACTGTCTTCAGACACTCACTCCCCAAAACTAATCTAAAGAACAGCCCTGTGCTTTCCACCTTTGAAAGATGGCTTTCTAAGGCAATCATAGTGCCAAACCTCCCCCCCCACACACTCACCTCAAATGCAACCCTTCCATCCTGAATTGCCTCTGCTAAGCTGTTTTCCTATGGAAAGCTGTGTTTCTAAAACTTTTCTAGAATTGCCGTTACAGTGATGGCTGACTCCTACCTGGGGGTGGGGAAACGGAAGAGGTGCTAACCTGGAATAGGTGTGAGCAGGATGAGAACGTTTTGGATCATTTACTGTTCATTCACTCTTTAGTCGCTCTTCATTCACCGTTTTCCAAACTCTTGTTCTTGGTGCTAGGTGCTGGAGACCCAGGATAAAAAGACAAAATATCTGACCTCAAGGTGATCACAATCTGGCAGGAGAGAAAGATCACATAAAGAAGTAAAGTTGAAAACCAGGATAACATTGCAGTGACTGAGAGAGCTCAGGGTGTAGGGAGGAGAATGTGGTAAGGATTTCATTAAAGAGGGGGCCTCTTTTCTGAACTGTGGGGAGTCATGGAAAAATTTTTTAAACTGTTGACTTAATGCATTCCCAAAACAGAGCCTAAGAATTGAAGCTCTGTTTACCCTAAAGGTCTTCAATCCTCTTCACTTCCCTAACCTAGACCTAGGTTAATTCAATGCCCAATGAACCTTTAACAGTTAGGCTACCCTTCCACATCTGTTTTACAGCACTCCATTTAGAAGTTCATACTATGAATTCCTACACCTCCTTCTCACCTCTAGTTGAAGCAACCAGACCATGGTATTTAAAAAAAAATAATCTCCTCTATCCTCCAAATATATTAATGGGATACCTGGAAATGCCACAAAACAGGGTTTTAACTTTATGCAGTTTAGGTGTTCTGCAAATGCATTTCATGCTTAGCATTCAGTTACTTTGTGTTCTAATTATAATTACTGTGGTTGGCTTGATAAATGAATCCCAGGAGCTAAGATAATCATCCACAACATTTTATTTCTGTGCAAAGGATGTGTTTTCCAAAAGGTATTTTGCTTTAGGCAGCAGAAGCCACAGTTGCACTTAGTCTTAGTAGGAAAAGAAACACTTTCTTCTGCAAACATCAGAGACCATCTGGGATGCAGTGCTATTGTTTAATTTCACAGAGGCCGATCTGAGAGGGCAGACCAGTGAAAGAGCACAGAAAAAGAAATCGTTGGGGACTCCTCCATCCATCTTGCATAACCACCTTAGTATCAGTTTGCACTGTGTCAAGAATCCTATTTCATGTCTGAAGATGTGTTTGTTGCTCAGAAATAAGCTGCTGGAAACCCAAGCTGCTTGGGCTCCTGAGGTCCAGCCTTCAGGACCTGAAAGGAAACCTTGAGTGCACAGCTTGGCCTTGGTTGCATACTGCCCTCTTCAGAGGGAAAATTACGTTCTCCTGTGTGTGCTGCATGCAGCCCTTGGCTTTCTTCACTAAAGCCACTCTGGTTTTTGTTTTGTTTTCAGTGCTGGAGACTGAACCCAGGCCCTGTACATGCTTGGCAAGTGCTGTACCACTGAGCTGCATCCCCTTAGTTTCAGAGACAGGATCCAGCTATTAGCCAAGGCTGGCCTTGAGTATGTGATCCTCCTGCCTCAGTCTCCCAAGTGCTGGGATTGCAGCTATTTATCACCATGCCTGATACCAGGGCCACTTGTAATTATTCATTATCACGCCTCAGCTCAGGCCAATCGATGCCCTTCCCCTGTGGATGTTTCTAGAAATTTGGACTCATCAGAGCAGTTGAAAAGACAGAGAGGGAAGAAGAGTGAATTGTGTAGTATTTTATGCTTAGTGCAACTTACAGTGCTTAACTATGCTTTATGTTGAATTCGGCTTTTACTTATTGTTTTTTGTGTGTTTGTTTTAACCAAGAGGTAACATTCTGTGATTCACTCTGGACATTAGGCAGGAAAACCTTCCAGTCTCAGAATTTCCTTAACCTGATGTGTGACCCACAGCACATGGCTTTACCTCTCATTTTTACAATGGGTCCCTAACCCTGCTCTGTCTCCTTCTTCCCCAGAAGACAGCCATAGTTCACATGTTTCATGTCTTATGTGGAAAATGAAAGCATGTTGCAACTGACAGAGTATCATAAAGCCATTACTTTATGACACAACAATTGTGTGTGTGTGGTACTGGAGATTGAACCCAGGGCTTTGTGCATGCTAAGTAAGCATTCTACACATGAACCACCCGCCCCGCCCCCCCCAGTCCTTTTGTTTGTATTTTAATATTTTTCAGTCTTAAATTCTTTTTATACAATTATAATTTACAAAATATACTTGTTAATAGACCCATATATTGTAAGAAACAGATTAAGGTCATTTATTTTAGCAACCAAACTTTAAGATCCCTTATTGCCACTTCAAGTTTCAAGATGACCACTTTCTCCTTAAATCTGGCAGCTGAAGGTTAATTCCTGAGTGCTGCATTTTAGTTACACCTGACTGAGATAAGATAACGGTTTTAGAGTGACAACAGCTTTTACATATTAGCTCTATAACAGTAGTTTTAAGAACCATCCTACAGATGTTTATGCACACTAAAAATTTTAAATTGGACATACCAAGACTGAAGCATGCAAAAAAGTGGAAAAAAAATCCTGAAAATTGGCTGAATTAGCCAGTTGTTTTCTGGGATTCCAGGGGCAAAAGAAGTTTTTGCCCAATGTTTGATAGATTAATGTATAAAAAAATGACACCTATAAATAACTGAGATAGGGTCTCACTAACTTTTCCTGGGCTTACCTAGAACTTCCAATCCTTCTAGTTCTGCCTCCTAAGTAACTGGATTAGAGGTATGGATCACCATGCTTGTTTGGGCTTTTTTTGTTTAATGGCAATCCTAAAAAGACTTTTTCTATTTCATTATCATTTGGAGCTTCCCTCCTTCCCTCTTACCCACTGGAATGTATCCTTAGGTGATGGCGATTCATGCAGTCTGAGATGCATTTCCCATGGGATATATAGAAAGCTATAGCTGATGTTTATTGAGTGCTACTGTTTTAAGCACTTGCATTTTAACTTGCTCTGACTACCCAATAAGGAAGATAATTATCATTGCTGTCACCAGCCTCATCATCCTCCTCCTAGTAGAACAGAAAGGATGCTGAGATGTAATGGAGCGACAATACTCAAGGTTGCAGGAGTTTTTAAAGGGAGAGGTGGGCTTTGACCTCCGAGAGTCTGACCCCAGAGCTCTGACTGTCAATCACGGTGCTGTACAGCCTCCCAAATATTTGGCTCCAAGGTGCTGAACTGTACCTGTATCTCTGCTGAGAGCAGCTGAGGGC